CACATATTCTAGACAATCCCCTTTCCATCCCTTTTTAATTATGTTTTTTTGTGTACTTGGAGTCTGTAAATGTGGAAAAAAATAACTTTAAATAAGCATGTCTATGACTTGTTGTGGTATTTCCAAAATGTTTTTAGTCTGGAGAAAATGGAGAGGACTTACCTCTCCATTTTCTCTAGGATTTTGTTCTTTAATACATCACAACATTTGCTGCGGAGAACCTAATTGTTCCTTCCAGTTTACAATCAGAAAAATCCTTTATTATTGATAGGATACCATCGCAATAAGCAAATTAAGTGTCAATTTGTTGAGTGTTTCAACTAATAAAAGTCATTAGACCATTCCCCCGCGAACACAACTTATTCTCAGCACCTGATGAAAATATTTTTTTCATGGACACCTATATTCATCAACAGGAAAATTCCTCCTTGCTTTTGCAAAGCACTTCAGGGAACCAGTGCTTCTGCAGTGTCGGCCAATATGAAAAAGGATTAACTGAAATACTTTGTATCTCTGAAGGGGCAGTTCCTTCTGAAAACAGAAGCACCACAGCAAAGTGATAAACAGCAGATAAAGTTACATTGACATCAAGCTTTAATATAGAGATGCATTGTTATAACTTACTCACTGCTGTTTTGATGGTACAGCTCCATAGCTTCTGCTTATGTTTACATCGTGTGCTTGCTTTTTGCTTGTTAAGTGGTAACCTTACTCCGTGTTTTGATTTACAATATTAGGCAAATAATTTTATAATATTTTTGGTTGCCATTTTTAATCTTGGTGAACATGTCTAAATACATTATGTCATGTTCTTAGCACTTTGAACCTTTAAGGATTTACACCCTGTTCAGTATGTAAATATAAAATACAGACAATATTAAAAAGTTTGGAGGAGACTTAGCATTTGCGCACTCATGGTACCTAAAGGGGTTAAAAGTCTTTGAGAAGTCTCTGCTGTTTCATATTGGGGTAAAATATATCTTTTTGAAGACCTCTGACCAGGTCTGCATTATAATATTGTCAGTAACCTTAATAACAGAATCACAGCCTGTGTTACTACAGTAACAGCCATTCAAAATGGCCCTTTCCAGTCAAATTCCAGCCGAATGGCATCCCACTTCCCTCTAACTCCCAGCAAAATCCCCTCCAACTTCCAGCCAATGCAATGACCCCCTCTTGCATATTTTTTTTACTCTGACTCTATTTACTCTATAATTTTTTAGTACAAATATTGATGTTTAAGAAGGAATCAAAGGGGGACCAGCCAAGGGTCCATAAAAAAAAGTGGGGGAAATTTTGAATGACTACTAATGTACGCTTTATTCCTTTAACTTTCCACACAGAATTAAAATTTTTCATGTATCCGATAAAAGTAAACATATGGTTGTCATCATTTTGGATAATATTTTTCTTTGAGTCTCCTCTTGCTCAGACCTTTGCTCTAACATATGAGGCTGAATGGAAAACTCTTTTGTAGTTGACATCTTTTAATAGAATTAAATTGAAGTCTCTGTTTCTATTAAGAGTTTCTATTTCTGCTATTAAGCTACAAATATGGCCAAACCTGGTGAAGAGGGATGTGCTGGAACCTGGAGAGGGCTGTGAAGTGCCTCCTTTGGTTTAAAAGCGACAAAAGCAAAACATGTTGCTGAGGAAAGCATGTTAGAAAATCACTACAATGAACATCTTTGAACTTTAACTTTATATTAATTTTAATTGATTTGAATAGGAAAAGGAAATATTTAAAAACCATAATAGGTGTCCTTTAAAGCAGGTAGGCTGCAGCAACAGAGAACTGCTTTTGGTGTCACTTTTGGTAACCAAAGAGCAGGAAACAAAAAACATGATTTGTAAATGTTCATATAAATTCCATAACTGATTGTAAAAAGGAATATCTGCAACATTCAGTTGACAGGTTTAGAATTTAGCTTAAAAACAGAAAAGCATGGACCAGTCCTGTCCTACATTAATGGCTCAGGCTGCTGGTTGGTTGTACAATGTTAAGGAGGATATTGTCTTGGCACACTTTGGGTCTCTTGATAGCAGTTGTGCATTGCTTAAATGCCACAGCCTTTGTGAGTACAGTTGCTGACCATGTCTATCCCTTTATAGCCTGAGTATACCACTCTCTTGATGACTACTTTAGCAGGACAATGAACAAAATCACAAAGCTCAAATAATATTTTACTGGGGTCTTTAAAATGACAGTAAGTTCTCTATACCAATGCTACAACCAAAACTATTTAGGTCCCTATATAAGAGCACACCTTAAGGTTGTGTAAAGCTAACAAAATCTGCAGTAAATGCACAATGCTATAATGCAAAAATTGACCTAATTTTTTGAAGGTCCATCATCTTGCTGAATCTTTTATACAAAGATTTACCGAAGTTCTAAAAGGACTAGTAAAGTCCTACCCAATGCAGGAAGGTTCCTGATAAAGTGGTCAATGAGTGTATATCATCAGATTTTTGGCCAATCTCCATGCTGCCATGTAGAAAGACACAGTCATACAATTAGGATTCCATCATCTACTTTTATAAATAAGCAGTTTAGCTTCTAACTACACTTGCCTGTTTTTCTCTCCACTGTATGAGTCACTTGTGATAAACCCCCAGTGGGCTACCATGTGCATGTTAGTGAGAAATGACCACTCTGCCATAAAGGCTCAGAATTGTTCCTCTATATTTCGCCCCATTTACCTGAATGTTGTCAGAATTAAATTCACAATGAGATTGAGTTCATGTATTATATTTGTACTTTGCTTGGTTGGATACCCAGAGGTAAAAATACAGTCTCTTTGTGAAAATGATAAATATTCTTCCAGTGAATTACTCTTTGCATAATCTTTCTGTTGCTCTTCCTCAGATCAAACCAACCTGCATTAAAAAACCTCCCACCTTGTTTGTTTTTCTTCACTCTAACATACTGTACATGTACTCCTTTTATTCTCTCTGTCCTCATATCTCTTGTACTGCTTTTTAACCAAAGCAGGGCATTTATTCTTTCTATTTTATGGCAGCCACAATCTAAGTATTGATGCTGAAATAATTAGAGATCATTGAAATCATCAAACAAATGAATACGGATACAACGGCTTTTACACACATTTAATCAATACATTTTGGGGATAATTTAGTTACTAACCTAGTCGTTTTTTCTTTTTTGATTGCTTATTCATTTCTCTGTAGTATAGTGGTTTAAGTCTTGGCCTTCAAGGTAAGACACCATGACCAGAACCTGGCTATATCATTAAAAAAACTTTGTCAAACAGTGGATATCGTCATAATGGGCTTTAAAAATCTGACCCACATGCAGAGAACCACTCAGAGACCAAGGGTAAAAGTTTAACAGGTTTTTAACAGTTTTGTTGGTTTGCAAATACTGATGCATATGAAACTCTGTGGGGAAACAATGCTGAAACTTAGCGGACTGGTGAACCGGAACCGTAAACTCTGAAGGGGAGATCACAGTGATCAGTTCAGGGACAGTGGGAAAATAGACTGAGGCTTGAGTATTGCTGGAGAGGCACTCACTTTTGGGGGGGCTCTTGCTTTATTTCTTGGATCCAGTTTGTGTGGGGTTAATCCAGAGAAGAGGTAACTCGTTGGAGAGCGGACAGGCAGACATACGTTGGACCCAGAGGAGTAAAGGAGCAGACTGTCAATTGGTTTTCCAGGAGTAGACTTGTACGGATCATGTGGAGGTTTTCCCCTTGCTCAGTGAGACTCAATAATTCCTTCCAGGGGTAGAAGGTCCAGGCTTATCCAGTAACACAGGAAGTCTTCCTGCCGAAGAACAAAGACAAAAAAGAAGTTCAGACTCAGAGAAACAATGCTAAGGTTAGACTCTGCTAATCTAAGTTTGGCTAGAGTGCCCAATACTGGCAAACACTCTGGCGTCGAGGTGGTGACAGCCCGCTGTTCAAGTACTCCTCTGGTAATAACCCAAAGAGCCGCAGGTGTGCAGGGAGGCCCAACGAGGACAGGGCACCGCTTGGTGGTGGAGAGAGGAAAACAAAAAAAAAATTTTTTTATCTTTTTTATCTTTTACAACATTTTCTTATTCCCATAATATATAAACAGTGCTACATATAGGGGATTTGATAAGATTTTAAAATCTCCTACTGCATACAGGAACAAAGCGGAGAATATGGGCCCTACCCCAATCATCTGTATAATGGTCAGGGCGTAGCTCTGTCCTGTGCAAGGCTAAATTGTGGGACCCAGCAGGCTGCAAAGGTAGAAGATCCAGAGACAAGTGGTAATTGTCTTGGAAAATCTAAATATGAGGATGCCATTGTAAAGGAATGTTTTTGTTGCTACAGTACTTTCAGGACTTTATGGACAATGACTTTGCTTCTTTATCAGCCGTTTCTTGAATTCTGTAAACATATGAAGTTGTCTATTAAAGACCTCTCACACTTAGAACAGCTATTTTTAAAAACACATAAACAATTTTTACATAGGAAATTATAAAGTTGATAACGGTATAGTTTACCATAACATTAAAATAATTAAGACTCGGTCTCCACTCTTCTGACACTACTAGAACTCCCACTGGCCGTCAATTTGACGGGTGACATTTTCCTCAATGGCATGCCTGGATAGTGATGATGTCATCAAGTGGTTCTAGTGTGCCTTATAAACCGATTCTTGATATGTAAACCTTACTTCTTTTAACCGGAAAAGTCAGAGGTTCCCTGTTTTCAGGTTTAGATGACTTAGAGTTTTCTCTAAACCTGCTTTGTGAAACTGACCCCAGGTCTAATATATATTTTTCAAAGGCTGTATTGTATGCCATTATATTTTTGTGGTCTAAATTTTAACTAAAAATAAATCATAAAAATAAATGAGTCTGTTTTACTACACAGATTCAAAGTTTGGAATTACAATTTTATTAGCAGAAATTGATTGATTAACCCCGAACATTTCCTGCACACCACCTTTTCACATTTATCACAAACATCATATGAGCATTTTTTTGTGCAGCGCTGAATCACCTGGCACTGTTTTCTTTGCCTTGCCAAAGCTGGCTCTTCTGCAGCGGAGGGGTTCATAACTTGGGTCTCTCTGGAATGCATGTGGTTGGCACGCATCTGTTTTAGCAGTTCAAGGAAAAAAAACTCCGCATGAGATGGTGATGTTCAAACAACTCCTGTGCAAAACCAAAGCATTTATAGCTGCTAAGTCCAGGAGATTGTAAAATACAGCCACAAGCCACCGTTGCATTACAGCTTTTACAGAATACTTACTAATCATCTGATCTAACACATCCAGGCCAACCTGTGTGTGATTATAGTAGACCATGGGCTCTGGTTTTACTTTTGGGCCGACAAATGTAACTGCTGAGTTGTGGGCAGTGCTATCCAAACCTTTAAGAAAAGTTGCCCTATTGTCTGATGGGTCACTAATATGTCTGCCAATTCCCAGGGGTGGGCGATGATCCTCAGACTCTGTCAGAATCTGAACCACTTTCTGCCCAGTCGTCCTCATCGGTCTCTCTCTATCTCTGCCCGAATCGCTATGGATAGAAATAAGTTGAAGGTAATTAGGGGAAAGGAAACAGGCTCAAAGGGGGGCAACAGAGAGTAACTCAAAAAATGCAACACAGCTTAAATATAATAGAAAATAGAAAATAAACCAAACATTAACAAAACAGAATTACATAAATAACTGAAAACTCAAAAATAAATTCAAATTGAAAGTCCAAAAGGGGAGAACCACAACAACATACAGAAAAACAAAACAAAGAAAAACAAAAAAAGGTTTCTAAACTGTGATGCTGATTGAAAAGATACTGTTGCAGGATCAAATAAGCCTGGCTGTAAACCTGGACTGGTAGCAACCTTAACACACAGAATAACTCACCATGGTAACTGTGTGTTTATCATTTTGCTAAACTAAGTTGAGGCTTTATTCAGCCAGAATATCCAAAATATTCCAATTTAACCCCTTATATTAGGCTTTGTCAAATAGGCAAATAACCCCTTATATTAGGCTTTGTCAAATAGGCAAATACACATTTCAATAACATAGACTGTTGTCACTTTTTTTTTAATTTATAATAAGAGGATAAGAATGATCCAATTACCATCAGTTGGAAGACTGGAAATGTACAGAAACTTTGTGGTCCTTACTGGACATTCGATCAGATTGAAGGTAAAGCCTCTATGAACAGTTGGACATGGGCCTAGGCTTTTAACTTGCAATGATTTTGTTAAATAAGAAAGCTTTACACAATACCAAGGCTAACCCTCATGATACAGATTGTATTTTAATAATTTTCAAACATTTGCTTAGGTTTGCTGAAAGATTAAAAAATTATCTTGTCAAGAATAAATATTTAGTGCTGCTTTGAGCATAACGTGCAGGCGTGTCAACATAGAAATGTCATTGCCATCTGAGGCAACCTAAAACAAGCAAACATTTTACAAGTATCCAAGTTTTTACAGACACACTGGCATGATCTCAGAAAGACGACCGTCTGACTTGGCCAAACACCCTCCAAACACAACTGACTGCCTACTCAAACATGAATATAGCAAAGGATCACACCCTCTGCACTGCACTCAGGACTCCCACTGGTTGAACAGAATGGGATTTTAAGGAGTAAATAATATACCATGGGTATTTGGGACTCCAAGTCAAGCTGTCATTTCCTCTGTCATGTAGAAAGATGCAGATGATGTAACCCCATGCGTTTAAGCCAGGCCTACAGCTCGAGAAGCATTTACAGGGAGCAGACTGCAAGTAGGAACATATGGCACAGTCATTACCTATTGGGATTAAAAAAAAGGGAACATAAGAAAATAAACAAATATTATTACACTTCCTCAGCACATATTAAATAGAATCTTATTATAATCTTAGGACAAGGCAATGGTTAGGCCCTTATTTAGTAAAGTATAATCTAGAGACATTTTATTTGACATAAACCAACATTGGGTTAGACTGATATTAAAAAAAACCAAAAAAAAAACATACTGAAGATGTAGAGTTAAAGCAATATAGACTGATGTCATTATAAACAGTGTTTTAGTAACTAATAAGAGATAGACATTGAGCTTCCACAGGACAGATCTATTTAATTTGCCTTCTCAAGAGTATACTGGTCCAGCATTGGATTGGAAAAGGAACCTATTACATCAGTTAATATCATGACAGCAGGAGGACTTGCCTAAAAAGGGGTTGACATGGCACGATAATCATGCCAATTTCTGACCTGATCTTCCCTTCTGAGAGCCCCCGATATCAGGATACCTCTGGCCCAATAATCAGGAACATAACCCTGCAAAGTGTGGTCTCTTAAGAATAATCAAGTCTGCTCAATAAATCTTTGCAATCCCTCTGATTGGGGACATTCAACATTTAAACTGTATTGGAACAATATCTAGTCATGTATGGTGTCCCTCAAATCGTGCAACTTTTATTTTAATGCTGGTGTTTTGATTCTGCTTGACAAGGTGCATCAGCCAATCGGAGAAGCCGTACAGGAGCAGATTGTGAGACAGTACTGCTTCCAAGCTGCAATTTCTCCTCCTCCAGAGCTGTCAGCATTAAACCATAAACATGTAAAAAGGAGAGATCATGAGTTTGATTTCTGTTGGCTTATAGGGATCCTTATATTCTTGACTCCACCATCTACAGTTTCTACTTGACACAAACATATGATTACAAAGTTACGATATGAATTGCAATAGTAATCGCAAACAGTTTAGTAGGTGTTAGTGTGGTCTCAGCCATCCCCAACATGGTCACATTCAAATTATGTTGTAAAGACCCCTGTGGGGTAATTATAACAGGTAATACAACAGTCAATTATGTTATACCTTTTTCACTCCAGAATAAAGCTAATAGAAAAGTGGAAGTACCATTATAATTGTGCGGAAAATGTTAGGGTGTATCAATTTACCATTGTAATAATGAAGTATTTAACGGGCTAAGACTCTAATTATGAGAATGCCTCACTCTACACCTGCTTCAAGCAACTATGATGGCATTGGGAAACCCCAGATCGAGCGGCTATGGAGCAATCATTAGGGATCCTCAGCGCAACAGCCCACCTTCAGGCAGGGGTCTGCTGCTCGGAAAAACTACAACAGAATATTTAAAGTACGATCAGACATTTTTTTTAGATATTTTTTTTCTAATTTCACATCTCAAAACTAAATTTTCCCACAAATCACAGCAAATAATGGAACACTGCTCTCAGGGTTGCATCTTCAATTGCACACAGAGACCGTCAGGGTGCTTCAGATGAGCCTGTACACTTTTGCACGATTCACATCGAGCAAATTAGCTTATGAGTGGTGTACTGTCTTTTTGGTATGACTGGAGAGAGTAAGCGGTACGACCAAGACTGTTCCATGTATTCGTTTTTTTTAGAATCTCTTAAGCTTAAGCTAAGAAAATCACCCCACAGTTTTAAAATCTCGTCTATTTTACGAATCATCAGTGTCATTCTCTGGTTATAGTTGTCTCTACAACCACTCATGTTCAATCTCTATGATAACCACCGATGATGCTGTGCTTTACCATATACATTTTTTTTCCCTTGGTTTTAGCTCAGCGATGTGTCACAACATCAGAATATAGATTTCTGTTAAGACGATCTGTATACAAAACTGTCTGTCAGCATTCATTGGTTTCAGACATGTTGCTATGGAGACAGTTAAAAAAATGTAAAATACATCAGGCTCTTACTTCAAGCCCTGAGTGATGCATGTGTGATTGCAGCTGTGGATATCTATCCCTTTATGGAACTGATGAATACGTATTATCAGTATATACAGTAGCAGTGGTGGAGTCTCATTCAGGCCAACTTTAAATTATGCCCACCTAATGGTTCACTGACTAGGCCCCACTGACCAGCCTCCACCTCCATACATAGTTCTCACTATGAGCCTCTTCAGCTGAACTGCCTCTTCAGCAGTAGCTTTTGCAGTTTATCTTCCATAACATCTCATCCATTATCTTCTATAAATCTGGAAGGTTTATCCCCCCAGCACTATACCCCCACCTTGCATGTGGAGTATGGAGTCGAAAATAAATTGGCTGTTGAAAATGAGGATGAATCAATAGGTGTGTGTCATATAGTTTTGCTTTAGATTTAATTTAGTAAAGGGTTGCCTAAAGCAGATTTGTGTTTAACCTATTAATATTCATCTAATTCAATTTGCTTTTATGCTTACCACACTATTAACTTTGGTGAATATTTCTTTACTCTGTTTCAATTTCATGTTCCTATTCTTTTAAACTGCTATTAATGCACTTCTATATAGGATATTATATGATTCCTAAGTTCAGCTTAAAAAAATATGTTGTACGATAATTATAAGATGAAAGCATTTGTTGTTGTTTTTGTTTGATTTTTTAATACATTAGCATCACAGTAGGACATCTCACAATTTACTGTTCTAATTAGTGATCTGCAACATTCCAGTCATTATTCTAATTGACAGGTCACTTTACCCTTTGGGCAAGCTTAATTCTTTTTTTATGCCTTAGATCAATTGCTATTTTAACAAACAGACATGGTATTCAGAGAACACACTACAGCAAATACCACACACTGCCTTTCAGCAACCTTAGAAATCTATAAATAAGGATTTTCAACCAGAACAAACACCAGGGTTGACTTCGAACTCACTAAGAACCCCTGATAAATTCTCTGATATCATGACTGAATCAGTTTTATAAGATTACAGAATGGTCTCCTGGCGTACAAAACTCCCCAACCTAATACCGTCAAACAGATGAAATGCTTAAATTGGATGTTTCTGGGGTTCTGTAAGCATTGATGAACAGGGCATTCTAAATGTTGAATCAATTATCCTCGGTGCATGCAGTAAAAATTTATGCACCCAAGCATTTGGTGTTAAGACTTTTTCTGAAATTCCTAGCTCTTTATTGGTCAGAATATCACACTTGAAGTCAAAAAGCAAGCTTATCCATTCTCCAGAAGGCATCATGCTCAACCAAATCCTTGTGTCAGATATTTTCAATAATCAAACCATCCGTCACCAAATAGGAAGACACAGTTTGGACCGAAAGAGTACAATTACTTTTTATTTTTTTTATAGGAATTTAGGACAGTGGTTAAGCTAAAGGTTTTGGCTGTGTGTGAATGTCCACTTAATTCACTATACAGGGCACCATATAGTGGTTACACCATTTTACTGTAGGTGAGTGTCCAAATGTCTAGTAGATGAAAAAGTAGCGGACTCGAAATTTCCCACATACACCTTGAAAAGTAGTGATCACCCGTGGTTACTAGACAAGCAGAAATATTTTCCAGAAGAATGCTTCACCAGGAGAGCTCTCCTAGCAAGCATTTTGGGTATTTGTTGTCAGAGCGGCCTGCTGTCGCCATACCCGACAGTGGCAACAAATAACAAAGATGGTGCAGTCATCGGGAGGAGTAGTCACGTGACCAACCGGGAGCAAAAAGTAGTGATCATCTGTCCTAACAGTCAGTTCACTATTACTGTAAGTCCACAATATAGTCCCCACTCTATATTATATCTAAGAGATTTAGGGGTTAGGGCAGATGTTCGGACACAGCCTTTCTCTCGTAACTTAAGTGTTGTGGATGCGTACTGTGTCTTGCAAAAGTTTTCATATTCCTTTAACCTTTACATATTATGTAACATTAAAGCCAAAGATCTCCATATATTTTGTAAGGATTACATATGACAGACTACCAACAGTCAGTATTGAGGGCAATTTAGATTTTTTAAAAATGTGGCCATTGAGGAATGCATTTTAATTGGTAAAACTATAAAACATCTAAATTAAGTTTGCATATATACAAGTATCCATTTCCATACAGGGGAGGTCCATACAGAAAAAAGTGTGCAAATTTAACACTTAAATTTGGCAAATTTCCAAAATATGCATTTTATAGATTTTTCGCATATCAGTCTAGTATAAAGTTTCCTTTTTTTTTTTTTTTTTTCCTTTGGTTTACAATGGCCCTAATACTATTTTGCACAGGCCGTTTTGATAATTGCGCAATTTCTGTGTAAATTAGCAGAAGAAAATGGAAAATGAAAGGACTCTGCAGGTTTCCGCAGTGATTACCTTTCAATAATATGCATGTAGCGTGTTACTTATTTTAATAGCTTAAACCTATACTAATTAGAATTAAAGAAAAGTTTCAGTTCAAAGGTTGGTGCGTATACCTCTTTCTGCTATATTTTACAACAATCTCTTTTTTAGCAAAGGACTTACATTTTGGAGCACTAAAATTTGTTAGGTTGAAAATAAAGAGCAGGCTGCTGGATAATTCTACTCTGAGCTCATGCTCTCACATAAGATTAAGCTCTAATTCTGAAAGCAGCAGTGAGTGACATATGTGTCAGAATTGTGTTGTAATGTCAGACTTTTTAAGTAGTTATATAAGAAGCCTAATCAGGGAAGTACAAGTTGAAACTTTCCAAAAACTTGTTCAAATTCAGGGTTCTGTATTTGCATTCTTTTTTTTTTTTTCAAAAGCATTTATATCCATTTCTTCTTACTGTAATTTTTATTTTATCAAATTCCTGTAATGCGAATTAATTGCATGTTATCTGGATTGTATGTAATAGATCAACAGAAATAAATGCATAGTTGTGAAGAGGGAAATAGTACAATAAAAATACAAATGAAAAGGTCTAGATTTACATCACAAGATATACTATAATGCAAAAAAATTGCTTTCAGAAGCCAAGGGATTAGTAGATGGTCTACCTCTGTATAGTTTCTTCTCAATATAAATGCATCTGTCCTATA